CAAGTTACACCGTTTTGATTTTATATTGATATTTCAATTGACGTGCTGCCATCTAGCGGTTAATGCTGAGCGACGACGAATTCGAGATGTTTGCTTAATTCTCCAAAAAACAAGCGACCATACCGCAGCGATGTAAGGTTTACTTTCATTTCTTGCAACAAAAAAATATTAGCATAAACAAAAATTAAAATTTATTAAACTTACATAAAATAAGACTTAGCGATGATATGAAACACCACTGTAGATAGTATTACAAGTGCGACTATCATTTTTACACTCCAAAGTAGCTAAATAAAATTTCTACTATTTTCGAGGTTTTGCAGAGATAATTGACACAACGATAACATACAAAATGAAAATTACGAACTGAGCTTAAGTATGTAGAACGTGGCGTACTGTTCGTACTGAACGTGTCACATGTGTCACGCAAACTAAGCACTCCTATTGTATTTATTGTTTTGTGTGCAACATGTATATTTATCGGTAAGTATAAATTTATTTAGTTATATTTATATATACAAATATACATATATATAGGTATACAATATGGAACATTATTTGCCATTAATATAATGTTGGTTTTTATTTATGGATTTAAAATTATACTATTCGCACACTACATCTCCCACTCTGTTTAGTTTTCCTCTGCTTCAAACGCTGTCTGAAGACATGGCTCTTAACTATAAAGCTGACTTTGCCCACATTAGTTTTAAAATATTTAAGTAACATTTTTGTTGTTTTTTGTTGTGTGTGATCAATAAAATGTATATCTATCTATCTATATAGTTTTGTACAACAATTAAAAGTAGTTTACGTTTATTGCGAACGAACTTTTTACGACAACATTTTATTTTGGAAAAACGCCGAATTCTAAAACCTTTTAGGTCTGGCATTGTTATCTAAAAACATAACTCAGTTTGTAAAAAACATTGCTATGAACATATATCTTTGGAAATGAGGTTGCTCGTACATATGTGTGGGTAGTAATTTAGCTTTTTAATCAACAACAAAGAGACACTGATTTGAGAAACGTTTGATATTCATGAGATGTGCAAAAAGAATTCACAGAATTGGTTATATTCTGCAATTGAAACACTGCAAAGAAATAAAAAAATAACTCCTAACTAGACTTCAAACGCAGCGAAGGCGAAAGAATTGAGACGAAAAAGCTAATTTTGTATTAAGTATGTAATTTTGTAAGATTAACGAAGAACATTTTTGCATACAGATACGATCACAAGAAAGCTAGGAGATATTGATTGCGTATTTGCATAGTTAGACGACCTCCAAGGTTGAGTGGCTTACACACCAGTTTTCATCTCTGAGGCCCCGGGTTCGATTCCCGGTCGGGTCAATGTAGAAACTAACTTTTCTATATTATTTCGGGTCTGGGTGTTTGTAGTACCGTCGTTGTAATGGAAGTGCCAAGTACTATCAGAGCCGCTGTCGCCAAAAATCACACTGTCATAATTTGAAACATTATGACTCTATCTTACCTTGCTGGCATATCGTTGAAAGTTCAATATCATCAATACCTGTTATTACAAGTTACGACATTTTGATTTTATATTGAAATTTCAAATTTGCGGAACTCCGCGAACTGTTAGCACACAACTAAGCACTTCTACTGTATTTATTATTCTGTGTGAGGAGAGTATGTGAGGTTATCTCTAGTTATATATTTTATTGGAAATTAAACTATTTTTTCCATTGACTTACAATTATATGGACGTCGGGTCCGCGCTATAAAGTGTCCGCACTTGTAAGGCGCTAAAAAGTGTCCGCACTTGTAAGGCGCTAAAAAGTGTCCGCACTTGTAAGGCGCTAAATACGTATACAGAGCGCCAAACTCCGCTTTAGTCTTCATTTGTTCTACTGACAGCGCGATACTGCGATTACATTACAATTTAAATTTCGAATAGGTTGACTTGGGACATTTTTTTCGTGATTTTTGTATTAGACCCGTCGTCCATTTATTTGTAAGTCAATGATTTTTTCGGATTTATTTCGCACGTAATCATTTTGTCAAACAAACCAAAATAAAACAAACATAAATGTACATTTGAAAAAAAAAAAAATACGCGTTTTATATTCGAAAAAATAGTTTGTATTTGCACAACAATGCATAACAAATTCGATATTCAAATTTTACCTTTTAGACCATGGAAGAGGCGAAAGTCTAAAACAGATACGTAAGTGAAAAAATAATTATAAGTATCTGATTTTTTATTAGATTCAATCCGATAACTTTCAGTTACTCTGCAATTGTACAAACTAGAAAAACGCAACATATTTATCAATAAAAAATCAACCTTGAATTCAACAGATACTTTATTCTGATAATAACGTTGTTTATTTTTGTCAGTATTCATTTAATAATTTAATTCGTCTTATATCTAGTGGTTATTTGAGACTATTCAAAGGTGTAGAAACCATATATCAAACAAGTGTTATTTCACATACAAACAAGTGTTTATGGCTAGAGCATTATCGAATGTTCGTTGTGAATGTACCGGCTTCTCATTTAATCATACTACAGAGATTCCAAAGGCAATAAATACCTACACCATCAATGGGGTGCTCCATGGCAATATCTAATACACTCAACCTACCCTTACGCGCGCAATCCATTTCATTAAACTCCCCGCGTGAACGTTGCACATAGAATTTGGAATCGATAAAGGCGATAAACCAAAACATTGTTGCAAAGCTTGAAATCACTTCTCGGCACCAGTCGGCTGGATATCATTTATCTAAAAGCCGCTCCCTTCCGCCATCAAAACTAAATCAAGTAGGGCGAAGAACATAAACTCGACCGCCCTTGCAGTTAGATAAAATGTAAAGGGAAGTTTGATTCACTCGTGTGACACCGCACGTAGCTCCCCCGCGCCCCCCACCCTTTACCCGCACTCGTAACGACGTCTTTATATTGAGCTATCTCTCTATTTGACTACGTCTCATATCTCAGAGAGGAGGACACTTACGGAAACATTATTGGAAAACTCAGACCCTTGAAAACTTTACTAGTGATAGGGACATGTTTGCTAAAAAAATCCTTATCATATTTTATACAGGCATTCAATGGATTATGCACATTCTAAGACCCAAAGAGGAGATTCATAATCGCCTTGAGACGAATATGAGCAGTGAGTTTTTATACTCACTTTTAGACTGAAATGATAAAACGGAAATTCCTTTTGTTTGCCATCACTATTTCAGAGTATTGGATTCATTAAAGATAATTAAGACATCGGTCGTATAACCCACGTACACAGTAATACTTTCGATTGTTTCCTTTTATGTCCATACTAATTACAGCATAAAACCGGGGATTATGCAACTTCATAATTACAAGCAGCGGCGGCATGCGAATTGGGCACTGAAAAAAGTCATTGAAACACTTCTTAGCGGGCAAATATCGTCGGTGGCCTCCGAGGTGGAGGTTCATCTCGAGATAAGCGGGGAGGCGGCCAGCATCTGGGCCGGTAATTAAGACCATCTGCCTACGTTCAATTTTGAAACGCGGTGGATGAGAGTTGCCCCACGCCTTCGGGTCCATTCGGGCGGGTGCGAGCAAATTGCTAAACTTTCAATTAAAGAGTTGTTGTTCAAACCGCTCCCGGTTTCTCAACGAAATTATAATTTATTTCACAACGGAAACTCCAATAGACACTTGTTTCCAGTTCCGTTTCCACCCAGTTTGACGGCGTTGAAAAGAATCGCGGGAATTTACTAACAACTGGCTATTTTAACAACTACCCTCTCCGCACTCTCTTGAAAGCGTCATTATCCCCATAATTCCCGCCAACGTTTCAGCAATAATATTCGTAAATGTAAATGTAATTTTAAAAGCTTTTTCAACTGTTGTATTCTCATAGGTTTCGCTTACGAGTAAAATGTGTACTTATCTAAAAAACTATGAAACTGATAACAGCCGAGACATTGAATTTTATGAGAACTTACTCCGAGGAGTGCGCTTACACGTAATCATAGGAACTGCATAGAAGGAATTTAAATTCACTTTTAGTACTTGCGCACGTGAGAACGCTTTCAAAGTTCTCTTTTACATATTATTAATACATATTTTATTTTACAAAACCCGAGTAAGGAGATACGTACGTTGATAAATATTAATGTTGGAAATAAAACTATTTTTTTTAAGATCTAAACTTTCGTTTATTGAAATATCTAATCTCAACGGTACCCACATATAAGTTTATTATTTATTCCTCACTTAACACTATTCAAATACCTAAGTGCTGGAATGATCTGTCGCCTCCAGCAAAAAATGCCAACATGCTATATATTATATATATTCTTTAAAAAAATGTGTAAACTATGGCTCTGTCTATATAGAAGTCGAATAGTGATCGGTCTGTGATTAAATCCGGATAGAGTGACAAAATTAACTCCAAGGCACTACCCAGAACATCCAGACCAGAACAGGATCAATTTAGAAAAGTGTGTTTCCCAAATATTTTTTTTATAATAGCAAGTGACGGGACGAACAAGTCGTGCGCCTGATAGTAGGCTACACACCTGTCCAAAACAGTTGTAATGCTACTCAGAGCTTTAAATCGCAAAGATCTGAGGAGCATTGACCAATACGCACGTTACCCTGAGACATATGTACGTTACCAAGTCCTATTTGCCTGTAATTTCACCAGCACCCTTATCCTTCAAAACCGGAACTGCAGTAATTTCTCACTTAATGCTTGACGGCAGAAACAGGAAGGTGCCAGTACCTCCTTGGGCGAATTCTTTCACAAGGAGCTCTACTGCTACTTAAATTGGTCGTACTGGGAATTGAACCCGGGATATCATCATTTAGCGCCCACAGATGTTAACCTCTGGGCAACTGAGGTCGTCGTTATCTTCATTTTCGTATAAATCTGTCCTAATTGTATATCGTATTTCGTTTCGAAATTAGAATAAGTTAATTTTAACGAAGCACGCAGTAACTCTTCTACTGTAATAACTATGTTTGTATTTTGTTGCAGTATTGACAGTGTGGTACGCGCTTGCGGCTCGATGTGCGCCCGTGGGAGAAGGGAGCATGCTGGTGCACTTCTTGGTACTTAGCACCGCCCTCGCGGCCGCCAACACCGGCAAACACGGTGAGTCATCTATAGCACAGTATAATAAACAAATAGTGTTAGTCCTAAAAATGTAGCAGCGCGGCTTGTATTTGCGCAAGCTCACTGCGCACCGTGTACGGACGCACGCGCCATTAATTATAGAATAAGAGGCGTTCGCTCAGTGTTTAAAATATTTCTATGACCTATTTGATGAATGAAACTATTTTTCCGAGTTTAAATCGCGTATATTTTTTTTTTCAAACAAACGAACGTTTCAGGCCCTCTACAGGTCCCATGGTCGTGGTTGACTCAACGAAACGTTGGTTTGTTTGAAAAACAGATACACGCGATTTAAATCCGGAAAAATAGTTTCATTTCCCATGACCAATTTATAATTTTTTTATTTATAAATGTATCTTTACTTATGTATGACAATGGCACATCAGACTACACATTTTTGTTCGAAAATCGCCTGCATTGCTACGGAACAAGATACGTCAATGTGTAGCTTGCTGTGCTGGCGTGTGTACAAGGAAATAAAGAACGACAGTGATCGAGGAAATTGCACGATTTAATTCCGCCTTTCCATCATCGGGTGACCAGACGTAGTCTGGTATTCCACCCCACATATACCAAGGATTTGCACGAAACTTTTCACTTCCACATTTGTATGGCGAACGGCTATGGAGTGTAATTCCCTGCCTGCAGAGTTGTTACCTGAACGGTATTACTTGGGCCTTTTCAACGCGAGAGTGAATAGGCATTATTTAGGTGTGCACGTTCCATCGTCGACTTCATCGTCACTTTCCATCTCATAAGATGGAGATCAAATGTACACTTATTTTTTTAATAAAAAAATACTAACTCGCATTTTATTTCTATTTCATGGTCGTACTCCAGATTAGTATCTCGATTGTGGACTCGAGATACTAATCTGCTTATAAAAACATCAACTACATTTGACACAAGTTATTTCAATTTTGCACGAGATTAGTGTGATGAATACCTTTTTATTTTCAAAATATCTTTTGTAACTAGTAGGTACAACTAATATGTGACAACCCTAGCGAGCAACGTATGCTTGATGCGCTGAACAAGATACTTAGAGTCGTATTCTAGAACTCTACTCAATGCTCAAGTCAGGATTTGAGCAGACTTGAGTATGATTTCAAGCACTGAAAATCATACTCAAGTCCTTGCCATTATTGTCGTATTTCCAGTGCTTGAAATCATACTCAAGTCTGCTCAAGTCCTGACTTGAGCATTGTGTAGAGTTCTGGAATACGTAACTTAAAGTTTTGGTTAAGTAAAGTCTTCGTACATTAGCCCAGCAGCTCTTCTGCTACTTGCTTTGGAACTATTTGTGGTCTGTTTTTGTAGCGCAATAACCTCGAAACCTCTCTGTCTTGGTTTGTCTGTGACCAGAATTAAGCCTTACAGAGCACAGGATGAAGTCTATGCAAACGGGCTGATCTGGGGTTTAGATCTGACTTAGATGGTCCCTGGGCGTGCACGCTCGCGCAGGTCATAGTGCCCGTCTCGTATACCCTAAGGGTCAGTAGAGAGGGTCACTTCAATCAAAACTAATGTAGAAAAATATGTGGCTGTGACCAGAATTAAATCTTAGCAGAGTTTGATTCTGCTTCATCCGTCAGTCTAACTAACATATTTGCCTAATTTCTATTTATTTATTGTAACATCAAAATATAGTAATTAAAATAATTAATTGCGTACAGTATGATCAGTCCTATATAGAAATGTCCTTAACTCCATGTTATTAAATTTATGACCAATGTGTCAATCACTCGAGCTACATTTAAATTACAAAACAGCAGCCAGATGCATTCGTAGTGAAGTTTGGATGCAGGTGGTAACATTGCAATGAAACTTCATCACGCTGATATCTGTTAGTACAATTGGCGACCTGTTTATACGACTACACCTTTAACTTCACATAATGAAGCGATTATAATGTAAAGTATCGTAAAGCAATGTTTGCAACGCAAAAAAACACTACAGCACATTGTGTTAAGAGTGTTTTATCAATTTAAAGATTGGTTTAAGACATTTTTATAATACCAAGTAACGGGACGAGCAAGTCGTGCGCCTGGTGGTAAGCGACACGCCTATCCATAACAGTCGCAGTGTTGTAAGTCACAATAAGTTCAGAGTTTTAAATCGCAAGGATCTTAGGGCACTGCTACTGCGCCCGTCACCCTGAAACGTCAGTTGACAAGTCCCATGCGCTTGCAATTAGACCAGTACCTTTACCGTTCCCAACCGGAACGCAGTAATTCTGAAATAGTTAAGGTGCCAGTACTTCCCTGGACGAACTTTTTCAGAAGGAGGTCTGCTACTATAGACGTACATAGTTCAAAGTGGACACAAAAATCACACTAACCTAAATTAAGTGTCAAGACGATTAATGAAAACCCCTTTAGCAAGTCGAAAACAGTTAATTATTGAACGCCAGCAGCCTCAAATAATTTTTGTCCACAATATTTCATAAAACGAACATCAAACTGAATAATATTATAACCGACCCCTGTTGTTTGCAAATAATAAGAGTAAAGAGTCGGTAAGTTAAAAAATTTTGGCGCAGAATTTGCATAAACCTCGTGGAAGACTTTTCCCACTTTTTTATTTTGGAGCTCATCATTTAGCGGACCCTAACTCGATTCGTTTGCTCGTAGTTAAGTTTAAAAGTTAATCTAAATCTTTTGGTAATTCGGTTCGTTTACTGGATAAAGTTAAAATTAAAAATAATGGTGAAACGTGACCTTGATAGCCATTATACCTGTTATCTCATAAGAACCAAAGTACAAAAGTACGTTTTTTTATCTTGTTTTCATTAGCAATTATACCAATAAAGCAGTAATGTGGTGCTTGTGATATTACACGCACATGGAACATGTTTTGAATTTGCTGGAAAATGAGACTTGTTTACTTTACGTCTCAGGATGACCGTGCTTATGTCCCCTCAGATCTTTGTGATCAAAGCTCTGAGTCGTACTGCAACTGTTACCGTCAAAGTCAAATAATCATTTATTCCATAGGTACAATTTTTACACTTGAAAACGTCATTTTTTAAGCTACTACTCGTTCACTAAGCTGACCTCCCTGAGAAGAACAAGCAAGGAACTATAGAGATTGCTCTTTTCAAATAAACTTAAATGCTATAGAATACATTTGGAATCATATTTGTGTGGAATCTAGACTCACGATGTCTTTCCATACATTTTTATCTAACACGTAGTCTACAATTTTGTAATATGTATGACTTTCCAATTAAAATACTGTTGATGTAAGTTTTAAACTTAGGAAGTGGTAATCTTAATATATGCTCCGGAATCTTATTGTAAAAACGTATACAGTTCCCCATTAAAGAATCGTTTACCTTCGTTAGTTCTAAGGTTAATATTATGGATATCTTCTTTCTTAACGACATTTTACGAGCATACAAAATATTTGAGTAAATGTACTGTGATGCCACAGTTATGATATCAGGCTCCGTGAACTTTTCTCTGAGAGAAATCCGAGAACCTAAACGATACACAGAACGGATATTGTTACTACTAGGCACACGACTTGCCCGTCCAATTTTCTTCTTCTGCAGCTTACCATGCAGTCACCCACTGCTGAGTGTAGGCCTCCTCATTTGCACACCATTTTCCACAATCTTGGGCAATTTGCATCCAGGTCTTTTTGATTATCTTGACTATATCGTCCGTCCATCTAGCTTTCCTTACCAGTCCTAGTCCTAGGTTTCTACTCCAACACTCTACTGCTCCACCGGTTATCGGTTCTGCGGCTTATGTAGCACGCCAAATGCCACTTTCTTTGCGTAATGATACGCTCAAATTGACATGGTGCATTCCATTTTTCTTTGGGCTACTTCAGCGTGACAGTCCTACTTTCGAACTTCGTATCTCGCTGTCCCCAAAATACTCAAAAGTGTCTCGCTTTGACGAAAGAGGACACACGTAACAATAAATTTAAAAGAATAGCGCAAAAGCGTAGCAACAAGTAAACTTTGTCACTCGCACCTTTTATTTAGTAGTATATGATGTGCATTGGCAGGAAAGAATCGGTGGCGTGATGTGCCGGTCTGCTTTTTTAAATTTTTTATCATTAAACACATTTAGGTCTGTTATAATTATTAATACAAAGATCGAACACTCAGAAAAAATTCCTTCGATCCGGCCGGATTCGAACCGACATCTTCTAGCATACCGTGCCAGACGCTATATCAACTCATCCTCGGAACAAACCAGCGGACTTCACGAATTTTTGTATGTGCTTGCCTTGATTTTCATAGATTTCTCATAGATGGCGCTACGACTAAAAAGTCGTTGAAAAACCAAAATACAAAGACACGAGGCAAGCACATACAAAAATTCGTGAAGTCCGCTGGTTCGTTCCGTGGCTGAGTTGATATAGCGTCTCCCACGGTATGCTAGAAGACGTCGGTTCGAATCCGGCCGGATCGAAGGAATTTTTTCTGAGTGTTCGATCTTTGTATTAATAATTATAACAAACTAGTGGAGTAATTTCACAAAAAAATAATTGAATAGCAATTCAATAAAAATTTAAAATACATTTAGGTCTTTTAAACATTTTTTAATCATTCAAAATTTCGTTGTGTTTTATTTTTAAAACAATAATAAATTTACAGGCGTCCCGCTTTGTGGGACAAAATAATGGTCACATTAGGCTACTTGCAACTTGCTCCTCCAGTCACTTCATATCATAAAAACGTATCTCATTTACAAACTGACTTATCAACAAAACTTAAAAAAGAAAACACAAAAATGTTTGCTAGAAACATTTCTATACCCAATACCTGCGACATACTAAAACATAGCAAAAAGAAGTTGCCTTTGTGAACTTAGAACTGAATCCCGGGAGGTTTATGTCTTTACGGATCAGGCGGCTTACTGGAGAGGGCCCGAGAACTCGTTCCCTCATAAATATTTACTTTATGAAATAACGCGCCCGAACTGAGCTTAGTCTAACATGCCTTGCCGTCTGTACGCAGG